CTGTTTCAGGATAAGGTCTGTGCATGTGTCAGTGTGTCTTTATGTGTCAGTGTGTATATGAATTTGTGTGTATGTGTCAGTGTGTGTATATGTATATTAATGTGTATGTATATCTATGTAAGTATGTATGTGGCACAAATTTACATACGCAATCTAACACAAATATTACATGCAAACACACCTCTGTATTCAAACTTCAAAATTTTATACAAACACATCCCTTTACTCAAACACCAATACTACACACAAATGTACATCTGCATTTAAAAGTCAACATTACATCCAAACACACCCCTGCAATCAAATGCAGACTTTACATACAAAAACACCACTGTATTAAAACATTAAAATGATATGCAAGCATATACATACAATTATAAATTTTATTAAAGACACGGAGGCTCCTATTATGCTTCTCTTTCTTTCATTTTTCCTCAGCAGCGAAGAGAAAAAATGTATGTAAAAGAGAAAAACAACATAACATTAGCATATTCAACAGTGCTACTAATCAGTATCCACCCACTTCAGTATATAAGGTGTAGCACTCTGTTCCTCTTCCTCTTTCTTCGCTGCTCCCTCAGACCAGCCAAGTACATTAGTCTCCTCTTGCTTTGTGATATAATTACTGTGGGACTGTATATGTTATCCCTATTCACTTAGGGTCTTATGTTTTGCTCCCACTAGTTTGCTTTCACTATTATCAGGAGTCATAGACAGTAATAACTCTTATTTATATATTTTATTGTGTTACTTGTGTATTTATTGCATTACTGTGTTTGTGTCCCCTGGGTCCTGTGGTGTTCTGCAGGTTTGCCTTATCTGGCAAGTCAGGGTCTTTTCCCCCTCTGGGTGGGTACTCTGCTCCCTGGCCCCTCTCCCGACCAGGAAACGTTACGAGGTTTCCCTTCCCCACCTTGCCCCATTGTCGGCTCCCTATCACAACACCTGCCGGCTCCCGCGCGGCGGTTAGTTTTACGTTCGTTTTCGCTGCACGCGAGCGCCGCGCATGCACACGATGCTTGCGGCGGCCATCTTTTTGGTTTTTCTGTTGCCGCCCTGTGCTGGCGGCCATCTTATCACTCATGCTGCAGATTTGATGCTGCACACGACGCTGGGTGCAAAGCGCTAGGCAAGCGAAAACATGGTCAAGACCTCCTCCACACCCAGGTAAAGCCTGGCTTGATTGACATGCCTCAGGCTGTCTGTGATGGCGCGCAACAACCACGCAATAGAGCTACTGGCCGGGCTACGGCGGCCAGCGATTGGAAACGGGCGCTGGCCCATGATTTACTGTCTGAGTCAGACTATAATGGGGATGAGGGGTCGGATGACCATTACTCAGATCCCTACGGGGACGAGACCTCAGGAGGTGAGGACCTCCCGGGAACTCAATTCCCATCTAGACCGACTCATGCCAAGGCACAGTCAGAGACACCTGGGGCAGAGAGAGCCAATGACGCAGAGGAAACACTTGCGTTCGACCCGGACAATCTGAGACACCCTAGCTCCGTTGAATGGGAGCCCTCTGAGCACATCGCTCAATACCTAGCTCTCAGAGTACGGAAATCCCTCTCTGAGGAGGGTCATAATAAGCTGAGAGCAGAATGCCCCCGACCTATCATACCAGATGCAGTGGCAAAAACCCCTGAAGTCGACCCGGCCATGTCTACCGAACGCAGGAAGGCCATCCTGCTCAAGATCGAGCCCAAGCTAGCTAGCATGGCTCCCAATGAACCAAGTGCCTCCGCAAAAGGCTTGTTGTTCAGAGAGTCCTTTGTAAAGGACCTGGGCTCCTACGTAAAGACCTTCACGGCCTTGGACAAAGCCCAATCTTCCATCAAACGTGTCTTCAACCAAAAGGTTTTCGGTGGGGCCGGTAGAGGTAGGAGCCGTCTATCCGGCCGCAACCCCCGGGGTTTTTCCAGACCGGGCAGAGGCTCCTTCAACCCCCAGGAACTGAACTTTGGATTGGCAGGCCTGCATGTTCACTCCAGAAGGAGTGTCATTCGATATCTCGCGGAGAACGAAATCAGCAACTAATCAGGTCTTCTACCCAAGAATCACAAATCTACCCAATCTATGCCCGATGCTGTGCCTAAAAGAATACGAATCTCGCACTTCTGCTCTACGCCCGTCTAATGACGGACCTCTGTTCTCACTGAAGAAACCACATCTTCCTTGATCTACTCCTACGCTCGCGCGTTGGGTCAAATGTGAGGAATGAGTATTATTCCCTCCCTTCCTCCCTGGGTGGAGTTTGTGGGATTCACATGCCTGTCAGTATTTGATTGGGTCTGCCTCTATCCTCATACCTTACATGTTGGAATTTTCCTGTTTCTTATCAGATAATTGACTATAAAGCTTAGATTATCACGCTAATTTTACAATATGTTTCATGTCTGATATTATGTCTGATATTATGGCTATGGTTTTCTCCAGACCTAGGTAACCATATATATACTGTGGTATGTTACAACCAGATGTCAATTGAGATATTACCATATTTCACCTCTCTTTTAGCCTGAATACTTATATCGGGGTGATAAAGAAGATTTAATGGTCCACTCTACCGTTTTCCCATAAGGAAGGGATGTATGACTCCTATCCGATGTTACAGTTCCGGTTCAAGTTTATCGTTCGGTTATTGGCTGGTCTTCGGATCGCTACAGAAAGAGGAAGAGAGTGCTACACCTTATATACTGAAGGGGGTGGATACTGATTAGTAGCACTGTTGAATATGCTAATGTTATGTTGTTTTTCTCTTTTACATACATTTTTCTCTTCGCTGCTGAGGGAAAATTAAAGAAAGAGAAGCATAATAGGAGCCTCTGTGTCTTTAATAAAATCATGACTTTACATCATGTTAATAGTAAAATCTTGGAATTATATAAACATTAAAATTACATAGAATTATTTATTATATAAACATTATATACTGCTTCAATCAAATACCAACACTACACACAAAGGCACACCGAATACAAATGAAAACACTACACACAAGTACACCAATGTATTCCAATGGCAATAGTACATACAAATACACTACATGCACACATATATTCTATACAAAAACACGTTTAGATTCAAACGCACAAACACTGCCCACAAATATAAACCTGCAAAAATGGGCCCCAGCTAGCATAGCATCGATGGAGTTGTATACCTTTTGGCCAGTTGTGCAATAGAGGGGAGCCCAAACAAATTTCTTGCATCAGGGCCCTTTCTACATTATTTATTCCACTGGCTGGGAGGTCTGCACTACTCATGTCCAAAGAGTGCAATTATGCCCTCAGTCATATCGAGCACAGGCAGCCAAAGCGTGCCACTCAGGCCCCTAATTACATCAATCTCAGGCATATTTTTCCCTTCAACACTACCAATCTCAGACAACCACATACCTCTCCTTAGCCCTATCAATCTCAGGCAGCCAAAGCGTGCTATTCAGGCCCCTAATTACATCAATCTCAGGCATATTGTTCCCTACAGCACTACCAATCGCAGACAACCAGATACCTCTCCTTAGCCCTATCAATCTCAGGCAGCCAGATGGTTCCTCTCAGCCTCACAAATCTCAAACAGCCAAATGGTTCCCCCCCTTTTTTTGTGTAGCCCTAATACTCTGATGTCCCTTAGGCCCCCTCTCATAATGCACGTTATAAGAAACCTGGCGGTTATAGCAATCTCATGTTCTCCCATCAGCTTCTAACCCTGAAACTGCTTAGGAATACCACATTTTTTAGATTTGTATTCATTATATTTTAGATTATTATTGTAATCATTTTCTGCTTCAAATATATATATAGATATTGGTTAATACAATGCTGAGTTATTTTACTTGTGTTTTGCCATCTCTGGTGTCTTGATAATTTTATTTTTTTATTGCAGCAGGATATAAATAGCCAGAAAAAATAAGTTTGTGTTTCATTTATGTATCAAGCCAAGCAAATACTAAGTAAGTGTAATTAAATCCCACAAACTGAAGTTCAAGAAAGGGGTCTTTGCACAGCCCCAAGCCCTCCACTTATTTCAGAACGTAGAAAGAAAGACGTGGACATTTCTAGGACTGTGGGAATAAAAAGTGATAATGAACGCAATGACATTTCAGCAAAGACTTGAAACACATCCGGCCCAGGTCCCACTTGAAAGACAAACTACAAACCAAGATGCTAATTAGTGGAAAATGCCAAATCTGCTAGTAAGCTGCTCGGGGGATGGGCTTTAATGTCATAAATCAGGATTAACCCTCGCAGTGACAGAGCTAACCAGCCCGTCTAGTTAATTGGAGCTCATACAAATAAGATTCATAAATTTAAACAGTCTGTCTCAACTAAGACCAATGTTACAATCATCTATATTTTTTATTTTAGAACTTGTTCTAATAGGAAATATAACATATGGATATTATTAGTAGATTTTCTGGGGGAGCCATCTTTAAAACAGGACAAAATGGGGTCCAGGCATTCCACCATTGCCCAGACTGATTGCTGCTCATCGTCAGATAGCTTTATGGGTATATTCACTATTCCCTGGATTGTTCAAAATGAAATTGCACAACTTGTTCGTCTAGATTAAAAACTAAACATATATGTATTAACGTATAATACAGATAATATCTTGCCTCTCATTCCCATGCTTGCTGCACTCATTTAGTTAGAAGTTTGTAAAACATAAAATGGCTGACGCTATCATTGAAGATTACTAGTAGTTTCATTGCTACAAAACACAACTGTTAATGAGTGGTAATTAGCAACATATGAAAGTTGCTAAATACTAAGTAACACCTGTTTTCCATGCTAGACGGTACAAATTACCTCCTGCCTTAATCTGGCTAAAAATGACACCTGCCTCACCCAGGCGTAAAGATAAAAAGTTCACAAATATATTTTATATTTAAATACGTTATGCTCTAAAATCAGATTATGAGCAAATCGATTATCTAAAATAATGTCGGTCTTAGACAAAAGTTTGACATCTATTTGGCATTAGAAGAGAACAGTGGCAGAACGGAGGGCCCTGGTGCAAGAAATTCCTATCGCTAGGATTGCCAAAAGCTATATCCCCATCTGGGGTACATATCCCAACTCAAATGCATTGCCAGCTGAGGATCTACTATTTGCCCATCCTTGCAGGGTTGTATTTAGCACTAAGCAGTGTTTGTGTGTTTGAATGTGTGACGAGAGCAATCTTGCCACATTGCATTGGAGGAGTCTGGTTGCCCACCTGCTCCCTTTAGACTATGGACCGGACTTTTAACATACTTTATTTTCCCTGCAGAAAGGCTTATTCATGCCTTTCTGCCAGGGCATTCGGTAGATTTTATCTACCAAACAAAATACCGAATGCGCGACCACCGGGAAGCTGGCATGTGCCTTCAATTCACCTCCCTGAAGCTAGCGTGTGCCGTCAATTGACCACCCAATAGCTGTGGTTAACCGCAGCTTAATTGACTGTTACTTCGTGGCCGCGGTTACACTTAGCGGCCAGTAGGTGGAGGTGTTATGGAGCACCGCTGGCCGTCCGGGGAGCTCCATAACACCTGGATGGCCAGCGGTGCTCAGCCCGGAATCAGTGCATTAAAAGCGGACACTTTTACGTGCAGGCACCGATGAGCCTCCAGCCTTCCCTGCTTCTATTGGTGGCTGTTTAGACAAACGTTGGCTTGATCGGGACTTTTTCTATGTGAATATGTTAACCCAGATAGCTATGCCATGAAGCCTATTCGTGTAATTAAAGACTTTGGCTCCATGGCAATTGAACTGTGTAAATAGCATCTGAGCGCTATTCGGTAGTTATGTGCGCTCAGATCCCAACTATCTGGGGATATGTGACATGTCTGTATTTTATGTATAAAATTTAACTTTGTATATTTTAACGTATTTTACTGTCTTTGTGTCTCCACGTGTATAATGGAGTTTTGCCTCTGTCCAGGGAGATAATTGGATTACTTCCCAATTATCTCCAATATAGCGGGAGGGAAATTATAATGCATTGTGGGGATGTTTTTCTTCTGTGTGTCTGAATGTGATACATGTCTGTGTGTGTTACAGTCTTCCATCTGGTCCCCTAAGGGAGTGTCCACCAGGTGGGAGACCTGCATAAATATTGGGCAGGTAGCCCTGAATAAACCAGACCACTGCTTGACCCTCAACACAGAGCTCTGTCTCGTCTTTGGGGGGGGATTTACTGTATTCTGTTAGAGACTGATTGCCAGGAGTGTAAGCCGCTTGGGTGCTTTTCCTGTTCGTCTGCTAGTAGCTATTCCAGTTCCAGTTCGGGAGTTTGGAGTGCTACTTTGTATGCAGTTCGGGAGTTTGGAGCATTCCCTTGTATGCAGTTCGAGAGTTTGGTGTTCTGCAGTAGCTGTGCCTGTGTCTCTGGAAGGGAAGATCTACTAAACGGCGGTTTAACCCTTTTATGCCTGGGGGTGCCAGAATGTAAGCATGGTTTTGTATGGAGTATGTGTGTGTGTGAATGTAGGAGTGTATTTGTGTGTAGTGTTGTATGTTTTTATGTAATATTGCCATTTGACAGCAGTGGTTTACTAGTGTGTAGTGTTTGCCTGTGAATGTAGGGGTGTATTTGTGTGTAGTGTTGGCGTTTGTATGATGTATGCACATATACACTGATACACTCACATACAGACACACAATGACAAACATGCAGCTATACAGATGCAAACATGGACACACACAAATACTTATACACACACACACACTGGCCCATATACTGATACACAGATGCACATATACACATGCTGACAAACATGCAGATGCAGAGACACATGCTAACACACATACAGATAAACAGACACACACAATAACACACAAAGACATTCATACAGATACAAATACGGACACAAATACAGATACACAGGGGCACACACTGACCCTCCTGTTTACTACCCTTGGTTGAAGGAGGGTGAATTCCCTGGGGTCCAGTCGGCTGGTTGAGGCTATTGGGAGTCAGAGGCTCTACCAGTCTGTGCTCCTCCTGTTTGCTTTCTTATCGTGCGTGGAGGCCTGGTCATGCTCATTGTGTGGATGGTAGTTCCGCTGCTGGGAGAGCTCTCAAGTTCAGATTCTGCTATCTCAAGTTGGTATATATTTTTTTTTTTATTGAGTTTACGACACATAAAATATTGTGGGATGACTTGAAGCAGTCATCTTAAACAACCTGAAATTACTTTTTGTTTCCCTGCCATCACCTAAGAAATCAGAGTTTAGTGGATTGATTCATTAAAGGAACACTATAGTGTCAGGAATATAAACATGTATTGCTGACACTCTAGTGTTTAACTATTTAGGTGACCGCCCTCCCGCTGATCACATGGCAATGGTGTTTTTACTCACCTTTTTTTCCCGCATCTGGCCTCACCTCCATGGCTGAGATCATTAATCTTGATGATCTCAGCCAATCGAATGGCAAATTGGCCTACCCAACGGCAAAACGCCATGCTGGGCCAATCAGCATGCTCTTGAAGAGATGTATTGAATCATTGCGTCTCTATGGGGAACATTCAGCACCTACATGCATGGAGACAATGAACATAGGTACTGCACAATGCAGCACTGGACTAGGAATCACCTCTAACAGCCGTCTGAGTGACTGCCACTAGAGGTGTTCCTAGGCAGCAATGTAAACACTGCCTTTTCTCTGAAAAATTCAAATTCCTACAGGGACAGACTACAGACACCACAACCACTACATTAACCTGTAGTGGTTCTGGTGACTTTAGTGACCCTTTAAGTTCAACATCAACTCATCCATTCATTGTGTCCTAACTCCACTGACAGTTGCTCCAGAAAATGGCCAATTTCATGTCATGTCTATTCTAGGATCCTTTAACCAGAAGTGTTTTTTAAAAGTACTGCAAAACAAAAGTCTTCCAATACTCTACACACAAGTATCTTTGTTAGTTTTTTTTTTTTTTTTACTGGCCTGGCTGCTGGGAGTTTAGTGCCTAAAACCTATAGCATTTTTTTTTTTCATCTGACATGAAACTGCCAACAGATCTACCCAAACATAACAGCACTCATTGTCTGTGAGAAAATAACATTACAACTGCCGGCATGCCTTAACTTCATATTTGTTAAGACTTGTCACTTCAAATTAGCCTCCAATTCCATCCAAGCCAGTAAATAATCTTGCTTACTTAATGCCTTATCATCGCCCTGATTAAGGGAATGCCACAATCAGAACCACATCTATAACAAAATATAGCATCCAGCTCCATTAATGATTTGCAACAAACTCCGAGATTACTGGCCCTTAATACCCATAAATACCCTCTTGCTTTTCTAAACATAACATCATCATGTTTTTACATCAATTATGAATAACTGCATTTTTTTAGTGTGTGTATTAATGAGTTCATGTTTTGAGGGAAGTGTAAATACATCTCATATTTTTATTACTTATTAATAACTCAATCCTGAGAGAAAACAGGAAGTTGAATTTTCAAATATTTGACACCTGGGTCTGGAAATTTAAATCACTGTATAATGAGCTCACAGCTCCAAGATATTGAAGGCAAAATTGTCTCAGAAATAAAAAAATAAAAATATATATTTTTTAAAAAAGTTTATTTTCCAGGAGATACAAACCGACAAGTGAAGTTCAGTTACGTTTAAGTTGGATTTTAATTCCATCCAACTTAACCTGCTTCATGACAAGCGCATTGACAGCAGCAGGAAAGTTAGTATGACCAACAGTTGAGCAGTAGACATCGCTCTGCACTCGAGATGTTGTGGACTACATCTCCACTGATATTTTGCCAACATTATGGTTACAAGAGGACTATGAGAGATAGTCTGACCCATCACATTTTTGGTTTATCTTCCCCAATACTCTTCTTCTTTCATGTCTCTCGCCCAATACCTCTTTTCCCTTCTTTGGTGCCTATCTACTGATTTGTGTCTCTCCCCATTTCAAGCCTCCCTACCTTTTTCCTATGGTAGTGTGGCTGAACTGGCAGGACTCTGTATGCCACCGATGTCATGGGTGGCAACATTGTATGGAAACAGAGGTAGGGATATGACATTGTCTCTTCCATAAACTGAACTGCATATTTACCAACATTTATTGTCCATCTCCTGGGACAGGGGAGAGAGCAGAGATCCAGGATGCTTCCTGTAGGTCAAATGGGATGGCTGTCCCCTTTATGATACCATGCACAGAGCGCTAAAGTACTCCATGCACATTCCTAGTGCACAGTTCCTTCCTGCATGTTTTACATTTCAAAATGTTTGACAGGTCCCTTTGTTAGGATAGTGCCCAAAATGCAGGACTGTCCTTGCAAAGTGGGGACTGTTGGCACCTATGGAACTGCCACCAGTCATGCATATTGGAGATTTAAAGAGTGCACAGAATGGTTGGATGGTTGGGCTATTCGTGGATAGCCATAGGCAACATGCATGGCAGAGCAGGCTTCCAGAGCCTCTGGCCTTCGGTCCATGGCCTGTTTGTCAGAATGTTTGCTTCCACCAATGGATTGCCTTCTAAGGTAATTTCTAGATTACTTGTTTACTAAATAAATATTTATTTTTTTTCAAAACCAAAATGTCATATTCCACAGAACAGAGACAGGATTTTCATGTATAGTTTATTTAAATAACACAGTGTGGGCACTTTTTTTTTATACAATCCTCAATGGATTTATATATATATATTTATATATTTTACTATTTCTCTAATATAGTGCAGTTTGTATTAATACAGTAGCATTCCAAGTTATGTGCAGTTAAAGTGATATTATATCCAAATTCCCAAAAAATATTCTGAATTCTTTTCTTGGAGTAGCAGAGATGTTACAAAGTTATAGAGATGAATTATTCACATGCCACAGTCATCTTACATTGTCTACACATCATATGATACTTTAAAAATAGCATATACAGTATCTGAGTATATATATATGTATATACATACACACACACAGTATCTCACAAAAGTGAGTAAACCCCTCACATTCTTGTACATATTTTTTTTTTATATCATTTCATGTGACCACACTGAAGAAATGACACTACTACAATGTAAAGTAGTAAGTGTACAGCCTGTATAACATTGTAAATTTGCTGTCCCCTCAAAATAACTCAACACACAACCATTAATTGTCTAAGCCATTGGCAACAAAAGTGAGTACACCCCTAAATGGAAATGTCCAAATTGCGCCCAATAAGCTATTTCCCCTCCCTGGTGTCATGTGACTCGTTAGTGTCACAAGGTCTCAGGTGTGAATGGGGAGCAGGTGTGTTAAATTTGGTGTCATTGCTCTCACACACTCTCATACTGGTCACTGGAAGTTCAACATGGCACTGCATGGAAAAGAACTCTCTGAGGATCTGAAAAGAAGATTTCCAAGACCCTGAAACTGAGCTGCAGCACGGTGGGAAAGACCATACAGTAGTTTCACGGGACAGGTTCCACTCAGAACAGGACTCGCCATGGTCAACCAAAGAAGTTCAGTGCACGTGCTCAGCGTCATATCCAGAGGTTGTCTTTGGGAAATAGACATGAGTGTTGCCAGCATTGCTGCAGAGGTTGAAGGGGTGGGGGGGTCATCAAATTGGTCTGCATGGCTGTCGTCCCAGAAGAAAGCCTCATCTAAAGATGATGCACAGGAAAGCCTGCAAACAGTTTGCTGAAGACAAGCAGACTAAGGACATGGATTACTGGAACCATGTCCTTTGGTCCGATGAGACCAAGATTAACTTATTTGGTTCAGATGGTGTCAAGCGTGTGTGGCGGAAACCAGGTGAGGAGTACAAAGACAAGTGTGTCTTGCCTACAGTCAAGCATGGTGATGGGAGTGTCAATGTCTGGGCCTGCATGAGTGCTGCCGGCACTGGGAAGCTACAGTTCATTGAGGGAACCATGAATGCCAACATGTACTGTGACATAGTGAAGCAGAGCATGATCCCCTCCCTTCAGACACTGGGCTGCAGGGCAGTATTCCAACATGATAAATACATCAAACACACCTACAAGATGACCACTGCCTTGCTAAAGAAGCTGAAGGTAAAGGTGATGGACTGGCCAAGCATGTCTCCAGATCTAAACACTATTGAGTATCTGTGGGGCATATTCAAACGGAAGGTGGGGGAGCGCAAGGTCTCTAACATCCACCAGCTCCGTGATGTCATCATGGAGGAGTGAAAGAGGACTCCAGTGAAGCTCTGGTGAACTCCATGCCCATGAGGGTTAAGGCAGTGCTGTAAAATAATGGTGGCCACACAAAATATTGACACTTTGGGCTCAATGTGGACAATCCCACTTAGGGGTGCACTCACTTTTGTTGCCAATGGTTTAGACATTAATGGCTGTGTGTTGAGTTATTTTGAGGGGACAGCAAATTTACACTGTTATACAGGCTGTACACTTACTACTTTACATTGTAGCAGAGTGTCATTTCTTCAGTGTTGTCACATGAAAAGATATAATAAAATATTTACAAAAATGTGAGGGGTGTACTCACTTTTGTAAGATACTGTATATATAGTTCAGCAGTTTGTGCTATTAATAAAGATAATAAATATCTAGCAATTCATTGCTTCCCTTGGTTACAGTTAGACAAAAATAATTTCTAAATTCTTCAATGCGCAATTCGTTACTTCGCTCATTCTTGTAAATTAAATTGGTTCCTTTATGGGGCATTCCCATATTTAAGGATATCACTGTAAATTAGGGAGCGGTTATGTTTAGTAAATAGCCACCTAATTGCGTGCACTTAACTATGGCAACCCCATCTAAGGACACTAAATAAGGGATGTATCTACACTACTTAACCATTGAAAGATTTGCAGGAGATTGCAGCATTCCATTTGTCCAAATGGAAATATTGACCATAATTTGGTGCAGCCAAAACAAAATTATTTTCTGTCCAAATGTAGTCAGACTAACTGAAGTTTTTCACCACGCACAAGTCTAGTTATAGTAGATATGCAGCATCATTAAGTAGTTCCTAAAACCTTTTACTCATTACTGCACGGAGGAAAGCTGGAAGCTATTCAACATATCAGATATAAATGGTTTCTGTACATTTTCTATCAATGTCAATAAAGTTTAGAAAACTGTGATGTAATTCCAAGACGGTAACCTCAAAGCCATCGCAATAAAATGAAAGTAAAAATGCCAAACTAAAATGTTAAAAGTGGCAAATCGAATTTCAATAATTTGGCTAGATGAAAATAGTATTAATGTGTTATTGTGCTGAATGTAAATAAAAGCTACGTGACCATGCCCCTGTAAAATTTTTTTTTTAGATATGCTTCATTATACTTGATTCTTTGTTAACATAGGGTTCGTACCACAATCAATCAACAATGTCTTCTGTTAATAATAAAACCTTGATAAACCACTGAAACTTGAGTTACCCTTTTCGTGTGAAGCTCAATTTTTTATTTATATTAAATATTTAGCAATTAACATCACAATTTAATTTAGTCTCGGCACAGCCAATGCACAGATGATAACGGAGAAATATTATTTCGTTTTTTTATTCTCCACCTTCACATATTATGCTAAAGACAGAAAGAGGCAGAGTTCATAGCAATGATTCTCCGGAAGACAAGATGGATCTAGTTCGAGGATGAAGATAAATACTGTTGTGCAGCTTTCTTTGTTTAATTTAAATGTTCAGACCTCGTAAACATATTTATGAAATATAGTGGATAAGTAAACATTAAAAAACTGTGAAGAATTCCACTTTAAAAGAATTCATTAATTTTCATACGCCGAGTGAAGTACAAATACAGATAAGTTGTTTTGTTAAATGACTACTAAACAAGCTTGGAACAGCCCCAATCAGCAGCTATGACACCACAAATTTCAGAGTAGGTGTACTGTAGCAGACTACAAATAGGCTAAAGGGTAAATATATAAACAGCAATGTTCTAAGATCTGAACATCACACTGGTTCCATATAGATTGCTCAATGGTGCCCCAGAATTGCCCTTAGTACAAACCATCATATTAACTATAGTTAGCTTTACATTTAGCACCATACAGAACAGTCAAAATGCTAACCACATTAATACGCTTTCTAATAAAATAAGACAGAGTACAGCTGATTAAAAAAAACAAAAAAAATTAGTTAGAACAACATGCTCTCTGCTTTAAGGACCGTGGTGAATTCAGATATTAACTGTGTAAAAAGGGAATAATGATACAACACCAACCAATTAATGGCTCAGTCTACTCAGTGCTATCAAAGTCAGAACTCAAATGTATTCACTATAGATGCTTGAAATTGGTAATTGCCATATTCACTTTGCAGGGTCAAGCGGATTATTATTATTATTTATATGTAGTAAACGGCAACCACACTCTGCACTCTAAAAGGCTGGGATAGAGATCCATATGTATATGCTATATGCTATATGCGCATACACAAAGAAAGCATATTTATTTGAGTTAATGGTAATTCAAATTTGTAAAAAACAAACCCTTGAGCATAATGATATTTTTCCTGCAATTCGTTTACACGGTGTATCTGTATATAAATATAGATACTATATATCTTGGAAACGATCAGTTTAGGGTTAAAACATCAATTGTTTTACAGGTGTAATTTTTTCTTTCACATTAGTGAATTAGTGCGCCCTTTATCCTAATATCTATATTGTCAACGCGGGTAGCATCCAAGCGGATTTAACTTTGTTATACTGCAAGGAGAGTGCAAAGAATACCCTATTTGTGTGCAACACACACACTTTAATGAGCCCTTGCAGTGTTTATACATAACTGTATTTGTATGTATAACTATAGCACATAGTTACATATATACAGTAGTATTCAGAAATGTAAGGATTTTATCTAAACAATCACCATACATATTGGAGAGTTAAATTCACACTATCTTTGGCAACTGTGTAACTGTTATTGTCAACAATCGTAGGTTCTAGCCATTTATACCCCATGAAAAGAGATTGGTTACAGTAAAGATATAATAACAGCGTAAAGTTCCACAAAGTACATAGTTGTACATAGTACAACTGCCCACATGGAAGTTATACGAACCTACTGAAATGTAACAAAGTGTAAACATTTATAGAATTCTCATAGCGTTGACGGGTGCCAGATATCAGTAACGCACTTCACCTCATTTCTTTAAAGATGGTGCCATTTTCCTCACTACATATAGTAGCAGGTTTTACAATACAATGATCCTAGAACACAGAAGAGTTATACATTTGGTGCAATCAAGGGATGAATTTTAAACATTCAGAAAACTTCTAAACTGAGGGCTTAGCTCACTCGCTGAGAGAGATCCTACTTAGGAACTTTCAGCTCTTTACTGGAAATAATGGAGGCAGGGATCGGCACCCAGTGAACTGTAGTTTTTCTAGAGATTGGAGTGTTCCTTTAAGATATACAGCATCATGCTCCACAAGGGACTTAACAGCACATGATCCTTGGCCTAACTGCACAGACACATGCCTCCCGAGTGTTCTTATTTAGGAGGAACATGCCTTATTTTAAGCCCACTGCCTCTGTCCCTCTTTTCTATCTTAATGTCTTTTCTAGGATTGTGTGTGTGTTTGAGTGTAAAACAGAGCTCCATAGAAATATTACTTACAGTAATGTGTCTTTAGACTACAATAAGAGTGTTTAGAAATCAGTCTGTGTAAATAAGATACATTGCTCTTTTTCTAAACTGCATTTTAGTTGCATTAATTATGACAGTATTAGTAAGTCACCTAAAATTTCACAGAACAGCTCCACTCCTGGCCACACCCCCAATCACACCCCTAAAATGAAAGGGTCCCTCTTTGTCCATTTGAAATGTTGGTTGGTTTGCAGACAATTGAAAAGCCATAATGCATGTTCATAAGCTATGCTGAAAAAAATCAATTTATTGATAAGAAAGAATTCAATATTCCTTTGGGGATTTGATCCCAGTGCTAATTCTCACAATAAATGATTTTTCCGGAGTGATACTTTCTTTTATAGAGGAATTAACACTAAGGTACATATATATATGTATATATATATATATATATATATATATATATATATATATATATATATATATATATATATATATATATATCATTATTGCACTAAATGAATGAACTGTGTATTGTATTACCCTTGTATGGACAAAGAAGGAGGAAAAGTTTATTACAATTTCTTATTTTATTTTTAATTTTCTGGATCTAAATTATGCACGAGATGGCTGGATTTATTTGAATAAAATATAAAATGGAGAGACAATATTGCACATAGTCACTCTCCTTGTACAAACACAGGCAAAAGGACAGTAAAACTAGTGTACTGGTCTCTTTACTTAAGTGGTTTATATGTATTTACATAGATTGAATATGTGGCAAAAAATAAGTTAAGTTATTATTACAGTGTTAAAGTCACAAAAATCTTTCCTATGATTTAGAAACATATACTAATATGTTTTAATAGGAAATATCTTTTCTAATACTGGTTAAAAATATGGTACTATTTGAGGTTTTATTTACTATTTATTGTGACAAATGGAAACTGGAATAAAAAAAATAAAAAAGAGGACCAAGTGTCAAACTCAGATGTTTTTTCAAAGGGATAAATTTGTCCTAAAGTTAGAATTTGTGGTTTTAAGTTCACCACAATTCAGCGCTAATAAAAACCAGTTTTTTCTCTCTTTTTTTTTTTACCAAGATCAAAAAGGTGTTTTAAAATATACTAAGAATGAAATATAACGTTTTCCCTTACATCTCATATTTCCCGTCTCTTTTTCTTATATATATATATATTATTCCCTTTGATTAACAAGCAAAAATAAAACAAAATACCAGAAAAAAATAAATACCACAAAACACAAATGTCATTATATTATAAAACCAAAGTAATAGAGAGATTTGATGTGCTTTGCAGCTTGATTGGGAAGTTGAAAAAAAAAAAAGATACAGTGATCATTTTCAAGACTTGTCTTTGACGTATACGCATTTCACTATTGGCTGCCCTTCTAGAAGAGTCACAGTGTCAGTTTAAAAATGTAAACGTACTAAATATGTACAGATTGAATTTTCTTTATATTGGGTACACTATCTTTAACAGCAAGATATGTCATTTTTTACAGTAATACTACTAGCTACAAAATGTAATTTACTGCAGCTGTAATTTCTATTGCAAGCATTTGTACCGATTGTACTTATGGGGTTTTGTGGGTAATAAAAAACAAAGGCACTTTTCATTTCATCAGCCCTAGCTAATTGCATCTTTCGTAGTGTTCCTTTGTAATGCCTGCTTCCTGTGAATTACAGAGCAGTTTTGATATGAACACTCAGGTCTACAAATCCATTAGGAAGAAATCATATTATTATGGAGTAACTGTGCACATCAGTGCCCTACCTATACTGTGGTTAATATTAGAATTGAGATTTTATCCAATGTGACACTATTTACTACCATTTATCAGTTTAGCATAACCATCTTTTGTTCCTATGACATTTATTAGACATTATGGGTCAATGGGAGGTTCCTGTTGATTGCTTCACATTACGCAGCTTGTCTCGCAATACACAATTTACCTTTTCTCTAATTTAATGTCTATACTTATAATGCCATCAGTTACTTGGCCTGCCCATTGAACAGCCCCAGTGAATACACTTCTGCTTTACAAATAAACATGTAAATGTTGGGTTTAAAACATAAAAGATAAGGCCCAGGTGGACAGGTCTATTGACATTTAACATGAGCATGCAATGCATACCTACTAAACTCAGTGACATTAAGCACATGGGTAAATTTATCATAGTAAATTTGCTGCCCTGGTGCCCATCTAAGTGTTTTTTTTAACACATTCTGTCTTTCTCCTTCGCTATATGCCTTTTGTGTAATCCAGATGGTGCAATAAAATTAATTTTCATTCTACAATTTAGGATTGTGTTACTTCACATAGAAGTAGTTTTTGTGAAGCGATAACCTATGCTTTCACATTGATTGGATTACCACCTCTACAGCACACCAGCACTCCTGATTTAATGGCCAAGCTTGTAGAAGGACGCTATTTAAATCTCAGAGTAGTTGGGTCATAAGATTGCTTAGACAAAACCCTACATTGAATTTCATTGATTGTAATTTTTCAATCAAGCAGTCAACACATATTTATTAAATGTTTGCTTCTGAAAGCTTTTCAAATGTTGCTAAAATTTGCTGCATGGGGCTACATAATTATCAGTCATTCGTCAGCCACCATGCAAAACATCCCTGAATATGAATGGAGTGCTTGAAACATTTTCAGTTTCATGGAAACTGTGTGTGATACGGGAGAGATTTTATAATCCCTTCTTTTCAACTGAAACAACCTTTAAAATGAACCACTCCACTGAAGTGACACAGATAACCAGAGATGGCTGCATAATCAGCTTCACATAGAAGGTTGGGCATTTTTTTACAAATAGCAAACTAATAGGCAAACAATACGAAATAGATTTTTCTCCAGTTTTTCAATGGATTCTGGCAATACTACAGACGAGGGCAAGCTGCAGGCTGTTCGGATAGGTTAGCCTTAATAATTGACCTATAGTTTATAAAATTGACTTCTTTTTAAAATTAACAACTTTGATAGTGGTTAGTGCTGACTCAAAGAATGTCATGCTTTGTTAAGAGAGATTGTTTTACATAAACCAAAATATGATATATTTGCATATAGTGTATGGCTGGACCCAACAGTCTTAATGAATGAACTAGTGGCTCCTAGTATTCTAAAAGGTCTAAGATGTACCATTAACTTGAAGGTTGAAGTCCACAGTACCAAGTAAAGGAGTTAAAATCACCTTGGAGAATAGGGTACAGGATATGCACATTACAAATCTGCATCAATAGAACCTCTTCCATTGGCTGATCAGAGAACGGTTTGTGTTTTACCTTAACAGAAACCCTAGTTTTGATGTACCTACCTACCTACATGATCTTACAGATCTATTGAATAATTATCAGGTATCACCTTCACTCTGCTAAAAGTGCAAATCTCCAGAGACTCATAAAAAAAAATATTTTCAAATATCCTCGTACCTTAAAAATCTAGAAAATCGTTAGATATATTGAAACATTGTTACTTTTGTTTTTCTATATGTCCTTTTTGTTCACATAAAGTTTAGTATGTACTATAAGGAAATACAGCAGAATTCCATCAGTTTTGGAGAAAATCCAAGGATATCCAGAATATGTTTGAATTCTGCAGTGACATATCTATAAATTTCCCCATGTTTAAGTCTGTTTTATGTTACCATGGTGTCAAAATCAATGTGGGCTCTCCTTTTCCTGATCTTCTAAGTCGGGCTGATTTTTCTCCCATGGCACTTGCATGACAGGATTCCTGCTCCTATCTCTGAATTCAGTCCCCAGAGTTTGTGCATAGAACAGTGATGTAGGGCGCCCAGAGATTCCATCTCCTGACGCATCACTAAGAATGACTGGTGGAAACTCGGACCTAGGTCGATCATAGACTTTGTTAGTTGGCACTTCTAAACAATGCTTGCGAGGAGATGTCGGGAGATGCTTCCTGTAGAGAACACGGTCATCCTGACCATTGTTCCAATTTTCACCGGATTTCATACACAACGAATTTAGGTTGTCCTCGCTGGGGGCACTTGGCTTGCTCTATAGGAAAACACAAACAATTTTTGTATAGATTGAACGCAGCAGAAATAACCTTCTCTTTTTAATTCATGACGTAACATAGAAGTGCATTGTCTTTAAACCGCAAAGAGTGTATAAATCTGTCAGAAAACAATTAGAAGGTTAAATCATTTATCTGCTGTTACCCAATATATTAAGAATAAAAAACAATTATAGTCAACAGAAATTATTTATAAGAATGACCTAACTAATCCCAGAAAGTGGCAGGAATGTGAAGAAAGAATGATATTAATGAACCTGAGCTCTTTTAAAAAAAAAAATATTACTGTTTAAGCAATTGAGTATCCCTACAACCCTACTGACATTCTGTCTGGTAGTAATAGGTTAAACATTGTGATAATGGTCATTGGCCTGAAAACAGTCTAAACATTACAACTATAATACAACTATTCTGATCACACAGTACACGAGTGCATTACTAGATTCTGCCAATTGCAGTACTTAAAATGTATATGTCTCATTCCAGGTTTTCATACATTGTCCTTTAATCGCCAATCTGTATCAGTTAAGATATAGAAATAATTTATAAAATCTGGTTATCTGATCAAGATACAGTTTCCACCATAATTCTAACAATAGTCCAGATCGGATGGACTTTTCTTTCTTTTTAAGCTGGTCCCTCAATGAGCTTGTGTGTGTTCTCTCAGCTACCGGTCTCTTCTACCTTATTTCCAGCTATCAAAGCCAATATGTAACATATACACTCTCGAAATAAAGTGTTGTAAAAAGATAATAAGCTACCCTTCAACTCAATAGTATATCTTCAATACAATTAAAATATTATATATAAAAACACAAAACAAAAGGTCAGCTAATAGTAAGTTAAATATAATAAAAATATGTATCAGAAAATATAGAACTTCAACAGTGGTGCATTTAAAAGAAGAAAAAATACATCTTATAGTGTAAATTAAAATGTAAATATTATCCTCTTAATAGTATTTTACGATGACAAAGGGACCTTTGCTGGCTAAACCTGATAGTACCAAGTGGCATTAGTGTAATGTTGTGAGCTCAAATAGATTTTCAGTTTTTACTATTTAACCAGATCTGATGTCTGAAATGTCTGAGCCTGTGAGAAATTGTTTTCTTGCGCACCTTATGATGAAGGTATGTTCTACGGTTTGCTTCACCTTCCAAACTTACCTTCTACAGTAGCATAAGAAAGCATTCATCCACACACAGAGTGTGCACACTGCCCATTTCAGGATTCATTTCTAATGTCAATAAACCCAAGTGGCACCCAAATCAATAATAAATTAGCGGGTTGTTGAATTTCTAAACTGGTGAGATGGGGAGGTGACATGGTAATAGTTTTTTTTTTGTCTAAAATAAATGTAGAGACTTTATTGCAGGTTAATGTTTTCTAAACTCTTGGAAATATTGATATAAATTACGAAGTAGAATTGTTAAATAGTTATAGAAATGCACATGATCTCAAGAATGAACAGAAATCAGTTGATTATCTGGCAGCCTAGAGCAGCATGCTCCTTCCTATCAATTGCGCTCTTCTCTGGTTTTAATGACCATTCTGACAGCCCTGCTACCAAGTAGCAAACATCACTAATGAAATCGATATGTTCTGGATAACCACCAACACTGTGCACAATCTACGAAGGCACAATTCTTAAAAGGAACACTATTGTCACCTGAACAACTTTAGCTTAATGAAGCAGTTTTGGTGTATAGAACATGCCCCTGCAGCCTCACTGCTCAATCCTCTGCCATTTAGGAGTTAAATCCCTTGGTTTATGAACCCTAGTCACACCTCCCTGCATGTGACTTGCACAGCCTTCCATAAACACTTCCTGTAAAGAGAGCCCTATTTAGGCTTTCTTTATTGCAAGTTTAATTAAGATTTTCTTATCCCCTGCTATGTTAATAGCTTGCTAGACCCTGCAAGAGCCTCCTGTATGTGATTAACCCCTTAAGGACCGAGGACGGTTCAGGACCGTCATCGGCATTTTTGCCTTGAGGACCGATGACGGTCCTGAACCGTCCAAACGGTCTGGGGCTACTTACCTGATCGCCGTCGTTCCCCCGGCGGCGATCAGCGTGGCTCCGGTTGTGGGGAGACTGCCTGCAGCCCAGACAGTCTCCCCACGGCAGATTAGGACCCCTGTGGCCATGTGATCGCTCAACACAGCCATCACATGGTCACAATAGGTGTCCATGTGTCTGCCTGCAGGGGGACTGCCTGTACTGACAGGCAGTCTCCCTGCAACTGTAAAATCAAAAAAAAAATTAAAGTTAATGGTAATAAAAAAAAAAATAATAATTATATATGTATAAATATGATATATAGACATATATTATATCTATATAATATATGTCTATATATCATATATATAATGTCATACTAAGTGTATTTTATATTAATATGTACTTATATTAATATAAAAATACACTTATAATTAAATTACACACGTATATATATAATATATATAATAACTATATATATTGTATATATATATTATTATAAAATATAAATAATAAGTAATTTAAATTAAATAATTTTTTAAAATAATAATAAAAATTTAAAAAAAATTATATATCTATATGAAATTTTATTCTAACTGTATTTTAAAATTAATATATATATATATTTATATCAAAATACACTTAGAATGAATTTGTGTATATATATCTATGTATATAAAAATAAATAAAAATAATAAGAAATATACATACGTCCATACACAAAATTACATAAATAATTATATAAATATACACGTGACTTCAAATATATAAAATATGCATATATATTTAAATTCTACGTATGCATTTATGTAATATTTTACATAATTCAGTAATTTTATTGATTGCAATTTGAGGGACCTGCCTGCCAACCCAGGCTCTAAATTCCAGAGAATTTAATTGGCTAGCATTTTCTTACCCTGTAACCTCTACTTCACACCCCTAAAACCCGTACATGGGGGTACGCATCTTCGAGACTTCGCTGAACACAAATATTAGTGATTCACAACAGTAAAACATATCACAGCATGATATTGTCAGTGAAAGTTACTTTTTTGCATTTTCACACACAAAACAGCACTTTTACTGATGATATAATTGTTGTGATACGCTTCCAGTTTTTAAACACTAATATTTGTGTTCAGTTTATGTCTCCCCGAGTAAAACAGTACCCGCCATGTACAGGTTTTATAGCATTTTTTGAAAGTTACAAGGTCAAATACATGGGTCAAATATTTTTACATTGAAAATGGCCAGGTTGGTTACGTTGCCTTTGAGAGCGTATGGTAGCCCAGGAATGAGAATTACCCCCATGATGGCATACCATTTGCAAAAGAAGACAACCCAAGGTATTGCAAATGGGGTATGTCCAGTCTTTTTAGTAACCACTTGGTCACAAACACTGGCCAAAATTAGCGTTCAATTTAGTTTTTTTACTTTTTTCACACACACAAACAAATATGAATGCTTACTTTGGCCAGTGTTTTCGACTAAGTGGCTACTAAAAAAGACTGGACATACCCCATATTGAATACCCTGTTGTCTACTTTAAAAAAAAAATATATGTAATGTTATTCAGAGATTTATGACACAGATACAAGTGTTACAATGTCACTATTGATAAATTTTAAAAATGTATGTTTTTAAACCGCAATATCCTATCACTTTGTACCTATATATAGCCCCATAACATGCAAAAAGCAAAAAAGCACGAAACACTCAGGTATTTTAAACTCAGGACAAAATTTTGAATCTATTTAAAGAAGTTTTTCTATTCAGCTTGTAGATGAGTAAAAAGATTTTTCAAGTAAAAGTCAAAAACATGCGTATTTTTCAATTTTTCATCAGATTTTGTATTTTTTTAAAATTAAAATACATGAGATTATATAAATAATGGTATGTAAAGAAAGCCCATTTTGTCCTGAAAAAAACAATATATAATTTGTATGGGAACAGTAAATGAGAAAGCGGAAAATTACAGCCAAACACAAACACCACAAAAGTGTAAAAATATTCCTGGTCGCAAATGTACAACATCGCAAAAACAGTCCAGTCCTTAAGGGGTTAAAGTTCAATTTAGAGATTGAGATACAATTATTTAAGGTAAATTACATCTGTTTGAAAGTGAAACCAGATTTATTTTCATGCAGGCTCTGTCAATCATGGCCAGGGGAGGTGTGGCTAGGCCTGCATACACAGAAACAAAGTGATTTAACTTCTAAATGACAGTGAATTGAGCAGTGAAATTGCAGGGGAATGATCTATACACTAAAACTGCTTTATTTAGCTAAAGTAGTTTAGATAGAGAGCGAGCTAATGCCAAAGTCTGCATGGATGTCACCAGCACTGTGCTATATATGTACCTTAGTTGCATCCCTGAATAAAGTCAATTCTTCTATAAAATGCAAAAAAATTCTGGTAACCGAATGAGGAACTGTTACATTTTAGAAAAAAGGGACAGTTTCTCTTTAATATTGACATATAACAGAAATAATGGTACAACATTATCAGGTTTTCTATCAAGTTGCATACTCTTGAACTGGAAATTTATATTTTTTATTCTATGGTGAGATACATAATAAATAAAGTCTTGCATGCAACCTGTATTGGTTCTCTTTTTTATGAAAAGATAAGGTAAAATAGATAACCCTTTTATTGTTCTGCCATATGACTATCAAAGGAAGTTTAAAAAACTTTGATGTCAAATAATGTTGACATCTAAGATGCTTTCATCATAATAAAAATTAAATTCTGCACTAACCAGACCCAAAAGTTCTGATCTATAAAGGATGCTTGACCCACAAATTACAACTGTGCTGGGGAACCTGCAGGAAGAAGTATGGTAGTCTGATACCTAGTCAGGGCCGGTGCAAGGATTTTTGGCTACACAAGTGAAGATGCATTTTGCCACCCCATGCCATTCTCCCCCAAAAATGCATTCTTACTGGTGTCTCGTAAACCCCCTTTTGAATTTTCAACCCGCTTGTGTGTATTGTATCCCCCGTCTAATCTGTTTTACACTCCCTTTTATGTCTCATACAACCCTCTTCCTTTGTCGCCCTCTCTCCCCATCCATCCACCAGTGCCCTTTGTGTGTCTTTTTCCTCTCAAGCTATATAGACATCGATATATAGCAACACACACAATCAAACAGGCACACAGTCACAGAGATATGCAGACACACAATTAAACATAGTCATAAAAACACAGACATACAGACACACACACATTCATATAGAGAAATACAGACACAGTTATACAGAGATACACAAACACAGACATAGACACAGTCATAGAGAAACATAAAGACGCAGTCATACAGAGACAAAGATGCAGGCATACAATGCCATTCAGAACAAGGCATACAGAGACATATGGACAAAGTCATACAGAGACATACAGGCATGCAGAGACATGCATACACAGACATATAGTCACACAGAGATATACAGAACAAGGCAAACAGACACAGGCATACAGAGACATACAGACACAGGCATACATACACAGTAATACACAGACATATAGTCATACAGAGACATACAGACACAGACTTACAGAGTAGGGGAAGATCCAGAACCTAATCTCAGGAGGGGTACTGGTAGTGGGTTGTAGAAAGGGAGGGCAGGGGCTGTAGTTGAAGATTAGGGGCTCTAATTGGGGAATAGGGGATGTAGTAGTGAGTTAGAGGCTGAAGTAGGTTGATGGTAGTTAGGGGCTGCGTGTGGAGGAATAGAGGCTGTAGTGGAAGGGATGTGTAGTAGAGGAGTAAGGGGCTGTAAATGGGCTGTAGAAGGGGGGGACAAGGCTTGTAGAGGGGGGGAAGGGGCTGTAGGTGGGGGGACAGTATATAATAGAGGCAGGGCTGTAGAGGGGGAGGCAGGGGCTGCTGGGGAGACAAGGCTGCTGAGGGGCCAAGGGCAGCATAGGGGACATGGCAGCATAGCAAGCTGGGAAAATGGCCAGAGCGGGGAGGACAGGGCAGTATAATGGAGGCAGGCCTTTAGGAGGGAGGACAGGGGCAGTATAATGGGGGCAGGGGCTGTAGAGGGGAGGACAGGGGCAGTATCATGGAGGCAGGGGCTGTAGAGGGGGAGGTAGGGGCAGTATTATGGAGGCAGGGGCTGTAGAGGGGGGGCAGGGGCTGTAAAGGGAGGGGACAGGGGCAGTATTATGGAGGCAGGGGCTGTAGAGTAAGGGACATGGGCAGTACGGTGGGGACAGGGGAAGTATAATGGAGGCAGGGGCTGCTTTAAAAAAAACAAAACAACAACACGTTTTGATTAAAAAAAACTATCTAAAAGGTATCTCCCCCTCCCTGAAGCTTACCTTAGGCCACGGAGGGGAGGGGGGGGGGGGTAATCTTACCACTGGTGGTCAGGTGGGACGTGCCAGACAGGAGCTGGAGGCAGGATATGCACTGAAGACCGCTGGGGAGCCTGGGAGCAGTGGAAGTCACGCCACCTCCTCTGACATCTTTAGAGAAGGCCTGCTGACTTCACTGCCCTACTCCTGCTCCATGCTGGCTGCAGGGAAAGCAAGGTGAGTTGAAAAATCTAAGCCCCCAGCCAGAGGCAGGGAATTCGAATTTTTGCACCCCCCACCCTGCTCTGGCGCCCTGAGGTGGCCGCCTGTGTCGCCTTATGGACGCCCCGGCCCTGTACCTAGTATGCTCAGGAGTCTATAAAACAAACCAAATTTAACTTCACTGAACCATAGTTTTTGGCTTATTATTTTGTATTTTTGGTTGTACAGCAGATGTTGCAATGATCAGGGGCGGACTGACCGGTCGGGCACTTCGGACACGGTCCGAGGGCCCGGCCGGGAGGGGGGCCCGCCGCCAGGGCCGCCTTCAGGGGGCCCTGGCGGCAGGGCTGGATTGGGGGCGGAATTTGTGGACTGCAGGTGCCACCGGGTGGCCAGTCCGGTGGCACACTGTGGGGGGGGCCGGCCGTTTCATGTTAGAGCCGCCGGACCGGGTGGCAGCCTCGCCGGTCCGGCGGCATTCCTCTCACTAACACTGAAGAGGAAGGAGGAGGAGGAGCATGTGTCTGTCATGCTCCCTGCGGTTCCCACAATTCCCAGCACAGGATGTGGGAACCGCAAAGGAGCATGATAGACA